TGAGGCATCAGCTGATGGGACTGGCATTGAGATAAGCTCTTTTATGAGGCCATCAGCTTGCACCTGTTTGAATTGACAGCATTCATGATTTAATTTATGCTGTAAAGTGCTGTGCTGTACCTCAAATGCTATAAATAGAATGTGTTACAATGTTAAAAAATAATACTAAAAGTCAAAAAATCAATAAAATGCAACTTTTTAGAAAGGGAGTGATTACATACGTTGAAAAAGTACTGTATTTTGTCAACCTCTTCTTTCCATTTACTATTTGTTCCCCCTGATAAATAAATGACAAACAGTATGAAAATTATACTCTCTGCCAGATGACATCCATTTTTCATCTCTAGCCCTAAACAACTCCTCCTCCTCTAAAGTGTTTGTCCGCTATCCCTCCATCTCATCCCTCTTCTTCTCTTTACCCCCCCCCCCCCCCCCCCACACACACACACACTTTTTCTCTCACACTTTTTTTTTTAGCTCCAGCAAAAATTAATCACCTGTCTTCCTGTCTTTGTGCGTGTGCGTATGTGTGTGTTGCCGGCAGGAAGCCCACAGAGGTTTTTAGCAGCTGATTTATTGCCGAGTTAATTCATAACGGCGTCCGATGATGATGAGAGGCTGCAGGAAAGTATGGTCGTCACTGTTGTTGTTGAAGGGTGAGAGAGAGGGGGAAAGGGAGAGAATAAACAGAGTCATTCTTTGATATAAAGTAATAGGGTGGAAAGTGATAGAGGAAAAGTAATGAAAAGAAAGTTATGGAATAAACAGAGAGACAGATTGCAAGGTGCTTTAAAGTGTAGTTTCAATATGAAGAAAAGTAGAGAAAGAGGGAGGAAATGGGATTAGCAAAGAGGGTGATCTTTGTTGGTGTAGTTTTCTTCTTTCGTTCACTGAAGAAGACGTGACAGTTTAATGTGAAAGTGTTTAGATTTCCCTCCCCAGAAGAATGTGCAAATGCTAATTAGCGTGGAATCTTAGTTTATTTCCGTTTACCATATCAAAAGGCAAACACCACTGAACCTACAAACTAGACCTACAACCATTAAGACCGACAAAATGTCTGCTGTGGTGCTACAAAAAAGTAAGCTACTGTGTCAGTCGCTATACCAGACAGTCACCATATTAGAACAGCTGTCTTTGGCACAGGCCAGAATCTGTTTGAACTGGAGAGAGGGGCCAGAGACAATCTTCTGTAAAAGTCTAACTTTGGAGTAAGGGCACTGCGCTACAGTAGTGTGGCGGAGGTGTGGTCCCTGGCGTAGCCTAGGGGAGGGGTGGAGCGGTGAGCTCAGGGGGGTGGTACCGGGAGGCAGGTGAGCCACAGGTCGTGGCGATTGTGCCATGAGTGTTTTCCTTCTGTGTGTCTATATAGTGACGGCAGAGTCGAGGGGGAGGTGGGCTGGACCGGGACGAGCTGTCACGGCGCATTGTTATTATAAATAAAAACATGATCAAGAGCATAAAAGGTGTGTGTGTGTGTGTGTGTGTGTGTTTGTGTGTGTCGCATACATCACAAGTAGCTTACCTGATATGGAAATAGGAATCAAAAGAAAATAAGAAATCAACAAGTCATAAAGTTAAGAGGTAAGAGGTAAGAGACTTTAAAATGGGTAATATATAACTGACAAGAGACAGCCCCCAAGAAGTGACTTTAAACTGGTTATTATGAACAGTTGTTTTATTGTGAAGTGACGTCTAAAAGATAACCCCTTTGGTGGCTGTAGTAATTATAATAATGTAGGGAGGAGACTGGGGTCTACAAAAAAGGGAATTTTAACACAGGACACCAATTTTGCATTTTTTTCTTTCACTCATGGCTTTAATCAGAGAGCACAGAGTGTGCTGTAATTTCTTTTTGGTTACTCTGAGCTCACTGCTGCATGATTTCACACAGTCATGTAGCAAAGGAAGCAACCTAAGGGGTGTAACAAGCAAGAATAATGGTAGTAATTGATAATATTCTTTTGTGATGGTCATGAATTTGTAAGCTTCTGTGCAACATTACTCTTGTATTGGTGAAGAGGTGTAAAGAGGTTTTTTGTGTCCTGTCTCCCTTCCCTCACCCCTAGGCAGATGGCTGGGCGATATGATCCCAAATTCATATCTCAATGTTTTTTTAGCTGGATGGCGATATACGATATATATCTCGATATTTTTTTTAAAGCCAAAAGGTAAGAACAAAAAGAGAGTTCTTAGTCACACTGTGTCCCAGATGTCACACAGGCACTTTTATTAACATACAGCGTAGATGTACATGAAGAAATTACTCAAAAATAAATTATCAGCATTTGTTTGATAATAATGCTCCATAAATAAAAGAAAACAATGTTGTTTTTGTGCATAACAAAAAGCTCACAACTGTTCAGTCAAAATGTAAACTAACAGACGCTGAGCATAATAACAAAGACAGATTTTACAGCTGCTCTGTTCCCAAAAGTTCTACTGCGTGACTGACAGCCTGGAGTTTGAAATCCTCTTTGTAACCACGTCTCTTACAGGTGCCATTTGTGGTCCATATACACACAATACGGTAATATTACGTTGAAGCACAGTACGTATCACTCCGCGAGGCTCCAGACCACGGTAGCCGTAATGCTCCGACAATCCATCAAGCGGTGCAGCTGCAAAGTCATGCTAAAACATTTTTTGACAGATTTTTAAGCGCTGTGTACCACATAAAATCAGTTCGCGGTCAGTAAGCACAACCAGAATTCATACATAAGGCGCACTGTCGATTTTTGAGAAAATGAAAGGATTTTAGGCCATGCAGCTCACAGGGGCTGTATGTCATTAGCGCGCTTAGCTCGCTAACACGTTGACGCCGTCCGTTGCCGTATCCATCGTGTCGTTGCCTGCAGGTGAAGCGATGGGGGAGGGGGAGTTGTGTTCAGTGAAGGGGAGAGGCGAGGCCGAGTAACGTTGCATAGAGACAAAAGTGGACGAAAGAGAGGCAAACTTGCAGCTCCACAAGTATAATTATAACGTAATATATACTATATCGATATAAACGATATTGTCACATCTTATATCTCGTATAAAAATATATTGATATTTTAAAAAACTCGATATATCGCCCAGTCCTACTTCCTACCCCTGAACCTGGTTCTCCTGGAGGTTTCTTCCTGTTAAAAGGGAGTTTTTCCTTCTCACTGTCACCAAGTGCTTGCTCATGCAGGGTTGTCAGATTGTTGGGGTTGTCTCTATGATTATATAGTGTTTACCTTACAGTATAAAGTGTCTTGAGGTGACTGTTGTTGTGATTTTGTGCAATAGAAATATAATATAAGTGACTTGAAATTAAAATGTGTCATCCTTTTCTTCAAGATAAAAAAAAAAAAAAAAGGTTTAAAGCAGTGTTGGTGAAACTGGCCGTGGCGGACACGTGTTGTGTGTGTCTTCGAGTGCTCCTGTATCTGTAAAAGCATTATTTGAAGACCATTTTAAAACCACACCATATTTGTTACCATACTGTATCTATGGGCATAATTTATCATTTTTCTCTTATGAATGTTTATTAAGCTTTTTATTCCAGTAACACATGATTACCAGTGTTGGGCAACTGTAATTAATTATAGTTATCAAAAAAGTAACTGAGTTACAATATTCTAAAAGTAATTATTTACTTGAGCAGTAACCATTGCGTTACTTTAAAAAAATGTTTAACCCTCTGGGGTCCAGGGTATAATTGGCCATTTTTAACTACTTTTGATGTTTCCTCTACATTTCACCTTTAAAAACTATTTACTTTGCCTTGTTTGGTATCATCCTTTTCAGCACAACCTCACGTGTCTGAATTTACAGTTATGTTTTCATTTTGACATACTGTATTAACACAATTGATCTAAAATCAGACAAAAAACATAAAATCCGAGTAGAAAAAGTTATATTTTTTACTGTAACAACCACAAACATGTTTATTGAATCATATTTCATAACTTTAAATGCAAATATAAATTGTCAATTTTAAAATCCTATGCACAAGTTTTGCAAACAACAAAGTTATTTGCATCCATTTACCTTTTACCTTGATTTTTTAAATAACCATTTCAAACTATTTACAGAACAATCAGCTGTTCTGCATTCAATAAGATGCCACACAAATTATTTGTGCCACTCCAAAAAAATAATTTCTGTCCACTATAAAGGAGAACATCACAGCCTGATACCTGCAGGTCTGACAGCAGCAGGTGCATCACTCCTGTTTCTACCTGGAGACAGCAGTCCGCCTCATTGTTCTGACACACAACACAAAACTATCCACAACACTACACACTAACTACACAAGACAACACATGAACTACACACTCCAAACACGCTAAACGTCACAAACATCACTCCTAACACTTCCCCTGTTTTTTTTTTGTTTGTTTGGGGTTTTTTGCTCATAAGCAGAGAGGTCTCGCTGCGCTGTCCTTAGACAGTAAACGTGATGAAACTATTGAGGAAAAAACGCCGCGTATATATTGTTTATCATGACTCTGGTTTTACGTGGCCTATCAACACAATTTAAAAACTGGTATATATCACCTTGTTGCTTTGTCTTTAAGTGGTCATGTGATTGGCTTACCACGACTACTTTATTCTTCCTCAGTCAAACAGCAGCACTCATGTGATTGTTTTGCCCCCTTAGCTCCGGGTGTTGTGCTAGACAGTGTTGGTGATTGCCGTCTGCGGGAGCGCGCGCCGCTGCTTAAAGCTGAAGCGTTCAGATTACTTACAGCTACTTCCGTGCAACTGATATAAGATGCGGTGAGCTGAACACAGCTTCAACCGTCTGTTTGTTGAAAAATAGTAACGGACAGCATTTTCTTGTTGGTAACTGTAACGGCGTTGTAACGATAGGAATAGTAATTAGTTAGATTACTCGTTACTGAAAAAAGTAACGCCGTTACTTGTAATGCCGTTATTCCCATCACCGATGATTACTGAAAATCACGTTCTGCACAACCCTTTCATGTGATCAGATTTCTTTTAACTTTTTTTTTTTTTACTCCTTACAGGCTGCAGGCTCTGAGGAAGGAGAAGTCACGGGACGCGGCAAGGTCGCGTCGGGGAAAAGAGAACTTTGAGTTTTATGAACTGGCCAAGATGCTGCCACTGCCAGGTGCCATCACCAGCCAGCTGGACAAGGCCTCCATCATCCGGCTCACCATCAGCTATCTGAAGATGAGGGATTTCGCCAACCAGGGAGACCCACCGTGGAACCTGCGAATTGAGGGACCTCCGCCCAACACCTCGGTCAAAGGTAGATAACACATTGGAAACATGTGTGGTTCTGCGTATTTAAAAAAAAAAAAAGAAATCATTAAGAACCAAGAAAAGCTTGTTTAAGGAATAAAACATCTGAAATATAAAAACTCAAATTAAAAATGTTCTTTGTAGTGTAGTTGGTTCGTGTCCTAGCACAAGTATAATTATTTTTCTTTTGCTTGTTGATTATTTGAATCATGGTATCTTATAAGCCACACCTGCAGAGACTTAGCCAACATCTCAGACCACTGAGCTGCTGCTAACTGACACAATGATTATTTGTTTCTGATGCATCAAAGCCTGAGAAGAACTTTTCAGTTGAACACTTGGTCACATCAAATCATAATTAAGCTCAGACATACAAATATATGCAAGGCAATAAAATTACTGGTTACCACTACATCCATAGTCAGCCTCACGAGTAAAAAAGTATTTACCCTCTGGGCAGCTGGTTCCTACTAATGGAAAACATTACTAATTGATTCCTCTCTCTCCATACCTAAACAACAGATTAGACTGCTTTTTGTAAAAGGTCAACCTTAGCACACGTATGCTGCATTGCAGCCATAGGTTACATATTAACAAAAAGGGATGTGGTTCCTGTGTCTGAAAAGTTAAACCTATGCTAAAGTCTACTAAACTGGATAAGGATTTTTTCTCTCTCACTATGAATAAGCCTGTGGTTCCGTTTTTTCACCATTCATGCATACTGGAATAGGTTTGATTATGCTTTTTTTCTTTCTTCCAACTTTGTTTTTCACAGATGAAGCAACATTGGTTGTGTACTTAAGAACTGTTGACTGCAAATGACTAGTGTAGCTTTAGCAACTCACAACTTCAGATTTTCTGTCGAAATGGACGTTTAATATGTGATTATAGCTGATTTAGTGAACAGAAAAGGGTTTGAAACTGGCTTGATTCACCGTGTTGTACCGAAACAGTTGTCTGGCAAGAAAATCAGAACCTGTGTGAGAACAGCTTTACTGTGAATTTGGCAAACAGATGTAACTTGAGTTCAGTTAGCTGCAAATGATGCATAAGCTAAATACAAAGTGGTGACATTGCTTACTGGAAATAAAATTAATCCTCAGGAGAATGCAAGTCCAGATTGCACTGGTTTGACATAATCTAGAGGTGGTTTGCCACTTCATTAGGGAATGCTGGGACCCTGTTGTAATTAAATGTGCTATATAAATAAATAAACTATAAATATAAATATAACTATGTTATACTGTCCTAAAAACCACCATAGAGTGGTAGAATGGTACAGCCCAACTCTGGACAGAATAAATCCTTGTTTCATTCTAGACATTTGACCCACTGTGTCGGCAAAACCGAAACACTGCCTACTTAGCTGACTGAAGCAGCGCCTGTGTAAAATGTAAATATTGCGGATGAGATGAGAGTAGACCTGACTGCTGGATGTGAAAGACGCTAAGTTTAACTTTGTGTGTTAAAGAACTGTTTGATATAAACTTTTTTTTTCTTTTTACTTCATTTGTTATGATTTTGGCACTTGTGATTTTTCACTGACTGCGGCAAAAGTGCTTTTCTTACCCCTGTGTATTATATCTAGTGGTCAACAGGGAAGGTCCAGTTGTATAGTCAGCTCTCTTGACCCGTGCTTTCACTAAACGCTTTCCTGATGTGTTTATTGCCTCAGTTGATGGTTTAAAGTTATACTGGATGCAAAATGATGATTATTTTGTACATTTAGGTTCTTCATTAAAGTCAAAAGGGAGGATAAAGCACAGTATACCTTTGGGAGGGCCTAGCTTGTATTTAAAAAATGCTCACTTCAAAACATCAAAAATATAACTTTGTAAACTGGTGGGTGACTTCATGGTTATTACATCCATTTTTTTTAGTTTACAGTCAATAATTCCAGCTTTAAATGATTTAAACCAGGAGTGTCCAACTCCAGGCCTCAAGGGCCGCTGTCCTGCGGTTAGATATCACCCTGGGTCAACACATCTGAATCAAATGATTAGTTCATTATCAGGCCTCTGGAGAACAAATTTAGCCGTTTAAGTCTGTGTTAGCTGTGTTGGATCAAAAATCTGCAGGACACTGGCCCTTGAGACCTGGAGTTGGAAACCCCTGAATTAAGCACTCATAGATGAGTTTCAACTTTTTATGGATTCCATCAAAAAATATTGCAGTTTTGTTAAAACTTTTAAATTAAAAGTGAGAAAGATTCTTTCTGAATAGATAAAGTTACAAACACCTAGCTTTATCAGAGATACCTTTGATAAAGGTATCTTTTAAATTTCTCTGACAATCCCAGTGAAGTTATTCACAAATTACTTTTTTGGTAATGAAAATTCGCATTAAGTTTGTTCTCATATGGAGAAAAAATATATAAAGCTTTCAATGTTGTTTCACCAGTTTCTTCCTCTTCTTTTTTCCCCTGTGCTAATTTCAGCACAAAGCCTTTTTAAGTTTTTTTCTTGTCTTTCTGATCCTCACTACATTTTTTATTACCCTTGGACATTGTATGTCATTTAAAGATAAAACATAATTTTGAGGTTTTTGCATAATAACAGTTTTTTTGATTGATTGATTGATTTTTGACCCAGATTACCTCTTTTCACCCAAAAAGCTGCCAGTGCAAGCGGAGCCATAGCAACAGCTTTACTGCCCAATTTAGTTTCCACAAAAGCTCATCTTTGTGTCTTCAAACGAACATTTTTATTCAAATGAAAGTGAACACGCAAACATAGGCGTATCAGGCTTACAGCTAGCAGCATTGCAGCGACTGTGTGGTTCTTTAAACTGCTATCAAACAACTTGCAAAAGCTGCAGAAACGCACCACGGTCTCTCTCTCTCTGTCACACACACACACTCACTCACACACGGCTAGCTTCAGCGCTAAGTGATTTTTCTGTGAAGGGAACATTAAGCTTTGATGAATTTCTGCCTGGAGTACCAGAGTGTACACAGCACTTGTGAATCTAAGTGGAATTTGCCTTTGAAATGGCCCCTTTGTGCGACGCACTTAAAGGAGAAGAGGAGCGTTTGCTTTTAAAGGGGACATTTGGGCTTGTAGGAATGACCCAAAGATGAAAGCAAATTGTCTGAAATTTCTAGGGGCGACAGTGCGTTTCACTGTTTGTGTGTGCTGTAAGAACTACAGTACAACCATATTTACCTGAGAACAAGAGTACACGCAGGGCGAGACTGTAGTTGAGTGTGAGTGAATAAAGGTAAGGTGTATGTATGGGTGTTTCTACACATGAGCACGTCTAATGTGTGTGCTCACACATGCCCTCTCCGCACAACAGCAGATGGCATCATTGTCGGCAGCGCTTTGAAGAGGTGCATGCATTTTAATGAACAGAACCAAAACGTATACACCAGATAAATGTGTGCATGTGTGTGAGTGTGTGCTGGGTTGTTTTGGAGCTCTCAGGGCTGTGTGTTGTATACTTCCTGTAACACAGCCCTGCAAAACACAGTATCATACTAAATCACATTTAACACGTGTGTGGAGGTACAAATATTATATGAACAACCCTTAATCCTCCGTTTGACTTCTTGTTATTTATTCATTTATTTTCAGAACCATAACTTTGTGATTGCCTCTGTGTGATACTTTCAGGAAACCCTGTCCAAAATAGATTTCTAGACTGTTTTTGTTCATTTATATTAATTCTGACTGGCCACACTGGCCGTTATAAGGGACACAATTATCCAACCAAGTGAGAAAACTGCTCACAGTCTCATTATTACACAGATAAAATCAAACCTGACAATGTGGATGTCCTAGAAATAAAAAATCAACAAATCCTCAGTGTGAAGGTCAAAAACACAAAACAGACTTTGCTTAAATAGAAGTGCAAAGTGAGGTTTTTATGTCCATACGCACACACAGCAATTCAATCAGACTGTCCCTCTTGTGCACACAACATATACAGTACATGATATGCTTCTCTCTCTGCAAGGTTGTATGTGCGTGTTTAGGTTGTCTTTACTCTCTCTCCTATTGACTGACACTAATGAATGAATATCCTTCTCTAGAAGACTGTGTGCGAGTGTGTATGTGCATCCATGCCTATGTGACTTTTTACTTTGTAATTGTTTTGTGTGTTGCAGCCTATGTGTGTGCGTGCGTGCGCATCTGTGTATTTGTGTGTTTCGCAGTGTTTGGAACAGCAGAGAATTATTGATTTTGGCCTCTGTGTAGCTGCTCTGCATTGGTTCAGGTAATGAAGATCGTTCTGTGTATGTGTGAGTCTGTGTGTGTGTGTAGTATTCCTACTTATGACTCTATACTCTTTCTGTTTTTCCATCTGACAATATCCTCATTTGTTGTTTTTCCCTCCTTGGTTTTAGTTTTTCTCTGTCTTCCTCTCTCTTTTTTCTCTAATTTCTTTCACTTTAGCACTTTTTCTTTTCTCTTCCCCCTCCCCATCCTGTACACATCTCTGTTTCTTCCTTTTTAATATTTCTTTTCAAAAGGCAGAAAGAAAATTAGATATGATTTCTGACCACATGATTTTGATATGTGTGCTTGCAATATGCATTCATTTTTTTATCCTTTCTCCTCTCATTTCCATTTCCTTTCCCCAACTTATATTTCTCCTCTTTTCAGTTAAATTCTGTTTTTCTTCTAACTTCTTTTCCATTTGCCGTGTTTGTTGTCTTTCTTGTTTTGTTCATTCTCACCTCATGTTGTGTCCTTCCCTTTCTTCCCCTCTACTTCCTATCCTTTACCCTTTTCCCCTCACACCACCTTCCTGTTTCCTTACCTTTTTCCTCTTCATCTTTTCCTTTATTTTGGTTCATGCACTATATTAAATCCTCTTTCGCTTTTTCCTCCTCAGTTGATTCTCCTTTCCCACTCCTAACTCTTTACTTTCTTAACCTCCGTTTGACTTTTTTCTATTTCCTTCTCCCCATTCTCCATTTCCCCCATCCTCTCATCCACTTCCTGTAATCACCTTTCTTCCACTCCTTCCTTATCCTCCTCCACCCTTGCACTTCATGCCCCT